GTCCTTATCCTTTTCCTTTTCCTGCTTCTTCTTGTATTCTTGTTCTAGTTGTTCTTTGTTGTGTGTATCATTCCAAATCGCTGCTTGACTCCGTTTGCGCCCTTTTCTATTTCCCACTCGCTTCTCGGCTTTTGGTTCACGACGCAAATCTTGTGGTGAAAAATATGTTCTGCCTACACCTGGAACATCAGGTAAATTTGTTTCATCGGTTACAGGATCTGATTTGAAGTCCTCATTTTTGGAGGTGAATTCATAATAATTATGGGCGAGCTTCTGGGAGTAGATTGTCCATATCTTTCAGGAGAATTTAGCAGAGCATGAGCTTCGGGTATTTCATCTTGTTTGTGTAGGTAAATATTGATTAACTTTACATTACAATATTTTACTCGGCATCAGTTTGATACGGGGCAGGTTGTGACAGTCACAATTTGCCCCGAGTTGAATGTCACAACTAACCCCTTGATGCCATGGTTGATAGTTCCCTTCTTGTTGCCACGAGGAGATTGAAATTGATAAAATGCACAAGAAGGAAAGAATCTACATACCTTGATGTTCATTTTTCCCTAGACAAGGAAATGAATAGACTCAATATACCACCTGGATAAATTTTTGAATAAAGATTATAATTTTTACTTTTATGCTCCAAAAACACACTTTCGCAAGCAGTAGCCGGACAGGTTCACACAACATAACCAGAAATATACGGGAGTTGTGACGCGATAACCATACAGCTAATGGTGGCTGTGCGCTATTGCCATTGTTAGTATGAGAGTATTCGCCTCTGTCACAACTAGCCCCTGTCACAACCAACCCCGGTGTCTACTACTAAAACCAATACATTTGAGCATATGGCTAGTTTTTGGCTTAAAAATTTTCATTTAATTTTTTACTTCAAACATCAAACGATTGTGGTCAGACAAGTTACTCTCAACACAGACTGGCCCCACCAATTGAGAACTTCGATCTGACAGCACATGATCAATAAGGCTACTAGAGTGATCTGTAACGCGCGTAGCATTCTCGCATGTTAAGGTATCATTAACTACGAAGTTATTGAACAAAATCATCAATTTGTAATTATTTACTACACTACAATCATCCAACAGATCTATATGGATGTCACCAACTATGATTATTGGGATATTTTAACAAAATACTTTCAAGATCATTAATGAATCTAGAATTGTCATATGTTGGTGGTTTATAGGCAACACTGATTTTTAAATACATATACTTATACATAACCAGTTGATTGGGTGATCCCGATCTAACCTATCCATTATCCATTTCCCTAAACTTAAATATGTCGTTCACATACACAGATACTCCACCTCCCCTGCCTGTTCTACATGAGTGGATAGCACTGTAATCTAGAAGATCATATAAAAATAAAAAATATTCATTATCTTCTAACCAGGTTTTCGATAGAGCTAGCACATCACAATCATTCCCAGTCACAAAGCATTGTAGTTCGTCGAACTTGTTTCGCATACCCCGAATGTTCATGAGTTTATATATGCTACATTAATTTTCTTATGAGGCCTAACTTATTTTTTAATTGGTCTTCTGACTCCACCAAGACAACTCTAGAGGTATCATCTTTGCCCAAAAATATTATATTTCCATTATCCATCCACAGATATTTGTAATTGTTTTGATTCTTATACATATATTCTTGCCGCAGTGAATATCCCCAAGCGCTACTTCCATATCCCAGGTCCTTTCTCTCCAGTCCCAATCTATTTTTTGATTTGAATATTTTTTCCTCTATGGTTTGGTCTTCAAACAAAACTTTTATGGGGCAGTTTTTTGTGCTGTCCTTTCCCATCTGAAACGCTGAGAAGTTTTCACCAACAGGTACCCCTAATTTTTCACCAACCTTACTAACAATATTCTTTAGATTTTCGTTTTGTTTAAAAGAGCTACCCTGTATAACATTCTTGATCAAATCCTTTTGTTTAATTGTTTTTTATTTGGGCAAGTTCGTTTTGCAACTTTTTGTTAAATTCAACGTGTTCGGTGTATCTAGTGAACAATGTAGCAGCATACTAATTATCCATTTCCTCCAGTTTTTCCATGACATCAGCCAGGGTGAAATCTTTTTTTGACTGTGTCTTTTTTTTTAGCTTATTGTCCCTCGTACATTTGCCACATAACCTGGTTTGGGTTGACTTGCTTATCCGAAGGTAAGTATTCTGGGACATAGACACACAAGTTCTATGCTTCCAGATCGAGCAAGTCTCACACAGCAATCCCTCCTGGTCATCCCTGACCGCTTTGCAGCAGACATTACAGATGTCCAACTCAGGCATGCTACTGGCCACAGATTACTACTGGCAACGTCGCCTCTCAAGACTGTAGTGTAACATACCCGGGTTCGTTCAGTAAGATTGAACGTTGAGAATTTTTATTACCTTTTAAACAACAAATATTCTGAAAAACGAAATGAAAAACAAATAGGACCTACGTTGTGGAAACTTACTTAATTTTACTTACTGGACATGCGCCCGACATAGCAAATATTTGGGAAATTTAGGGGAGGTTGTGATATGTAGAAGAAACGAAAAATTTGTGAAACGTCTACTTTATTATTAAAGTAAATCGTACCGTTCTCATCCTGGAACTAACGAGGGGAAAGAGCGCGGCAGAGAAACCCTCGATCTAACATTCCTGAAAAATCGAAACATACTGTGTCAATTTAATAATAATTGTGAGTTATTAATTCAATAATTTAAGTCAATGATAGTTTAAATTAGGTACCGTCTTGTGTTTTTGCGCTTAAATTTTAATTACACACACGACGTTCAGTCAACACTACCTATAATCGATATTGAAAAGTTTATTGCTAGTTAGCGGGTCTGCCGGAAGGTACTTAGGTCCCATACGGGATGCTACCCGGCTATAGTTGTTTTTGGAGCCAATATCTATAGATTGATTATTTCAATTTCTTAGGATATTCTCTCGTCAGGAAAGGAAAATGTTAGTAAATTCAACAAGGCCCTAATACACGCTCTGAATACACAAAATCGAAATCTCAGCACAAAAAGACAACACATAATTTCTTAGATTTTAATTTACTTCTTTATCGGTGTTGTTTACAGCATGAAACGATTTTTGTTAAATACACATGAACAATGCACATGTTATAAAAAATGTTATAATCAAAAAAAAAAACATAAAAATGGAAAAAATGATACTTGTATAAATTGAGCTCTCACAAACAAAATAATAATTATCTAACTGACCTGGTGATCGCTCCTTGACACACACACTAATAAGAAATTGGATTGAACAATCAGTTGATTGCAAAATAAAAATAAAAATTGAATAATGAATAATTACAGACACGCGATACGCGTCTAACGGACCAGCCCCAGCTTGTTCTCTAGTCTCTCTAATGCCTAATCGCCTCTTCTCTAGCTCCCGTTCGGTTTGGTACCCTTTCAGTACGCTTTACGGCGCATACAAGGTTGCATCATTTATTTTTATTCAGTAAAAGTTTTTTTAAAAAGTTGAGATTTGAAGAAATAATATTTTAAATAGGTGGTTTTCCTCAAGACCTACGAAATTTTAACCTTTTTGATGCGGTGAACAGCCTTGCACAACCTTTGAATTTCTGTGGGGGAGAAACCCAAAGATTCAAGCTCCTCCTGGACTTCCTGTAAGTCTTGATTCCTGTCCAGTTCCTTTATGACCATTTGGAAGAAAATATGAATGGAATTCGATGTTCTGGGAACATAAAAATTTGGTAATCGATGATCGTTAGAGTTTTTTATTAGTACCATATGGGGAAAATTGAGTGTAGCTATGTTTCTGGGTTTTTGTAAAGGAGGAAAGTCAAAGTAGGAGACTTCCATTTTTGTCTCTTGTATATTGTTTTCTATTACAGGAATGGGCCCGTCTAATTTGTACGTAGGTATGTCTGAGTCTAGTCTAGGTCAACATCAGGTTGAGTTAGTACAATATTATTTTTCATTTCAGCGAGGTCTGTAATATTTTCGGTCTTTGTCGAGTTTCTCTTCACTTCGATGAGGATTTCATCCATCGAAGCTTGGAGGGTCGTGTTTTCTTCCATCAGAAGCTCATACTTTCTTTCTAAGGAATGAAAACCAGTAATAGGGCTATAGTCTTTATGTGTATTATCTATAATTTTATTATACTTAGATTCTTTGGCATCATACCGGTTGCGCTAGAAGTAAGCTTCTTCTTGCGGATCAGGAAGGCGTTTTTCTTAGAGCAGGACTTGAGGATAGAAATATTTGGATGGTGTGGCATTCAAATAGCGTGGCTTCACACAGAGCAGAAATATATACGTGACAAGATTTTTATCTCAGTAGAATTTTACTCCCCATGAAGTTCTGTAAAAAAAAAACAAAAGAGTATTTTTCATAGATTTAATGTTTCCTGATGCTTTCCAATTTTTGATCTATGGTTTTCCGATATTGCTATCCAACTTATTGGGACCAGAGAGAGTATATCGTGTTTTTTATAGTTTATTATTTAAGATGGGGGTTTACATGAATTACAAAGCGTTGAGAAATCATAATTAAGATACATTTTTTATAATACATATATTGATAAGCTGTGATTTTATTTTAGAAAGATAAGACAACAAAAGTGTCCAACTATGCATTTTCAATGATTACCGTTGCAATAATTGTTTTTGTTGAGAGCAATTGAAATAGATAATCGACTATCTTTCAATAATTAGTTAAAGCAAAAAATTGTCTATTCTTTCTACAAATTAATCCTTTTAGCAATTCTAGTAGAATTTTCAAAATTGCCCTACAATCTTGTTTTCCTTTTCTTTTTGACACATCCATTTTTCATTTTGCTAAAACGCAAAAATCCAGGAATCACATATAATCATAGATATTTCGCTGTTCTTACAAGTGTTTCCACTATAAGGATTTAAATTTCCGATAAAACTAACCAAAAATCGATAGGCTTCTATTTCCTATAAATAAAAGGGTACCACTTTGTTTGAGTGTTATTCGATAGGGAATTGTATTAATGAGTACAACTGTGTAATTTTATTAAGGGCCTGAAATGGCTTTGATACGTGTTTATGTGGCGGCCCTTATTGGTTTAGTGTTGCTGTTTGAAGTGAATTTTGGTGAGCAATTTTTTTAATAATTATACTTTTCAATTATTATTAAAATATTTTTAATTTAAAGTTGACTCTGCTCTGTTCTGTAATAAATGTACATCGGCTAAAAATGGTGAAAGCTGTGGAAATGAAGTAAAAGATGCTGCCCACTGTACAGATAATGGGGATTATAACCATTGCATGACTTATCAATATACGTTTAGTGAGTTGTGTAGCCTACCATCTGCGCCAACTTATAAAATACAAAATTTCAGATGATTCAAAAGTGACAGTTCGAGATTGTCCCGATGCAAGTTATAACTGTAAGACTCTATTTGCTGATGGGAAAAATACCTCTTTACTGATGTGCAACGAATGCAATGACGACTTTTATTGCAACGCACATATCGACACTTCTAGTAACACTTGCGCTAAATGTAATAGTTTAGATAGCCAAGATTGCGGAGAAACTATTGAAGATGTAGGAGGAAACACTTGCTTTTTGGATGACACAGTTAACACCAATTGTCTTTTATACAAGTACAAAGGAGGTAAGAAGATGTTTATGGAAGTTTAAGTAATTCTAATGTGTCTTTGTAGCTCATATATTCATTTTGTTCATTCAGATGCATGTCACGGACTCTGCCAAGCTTTGAACTCAGATCAATGTAATTGAGGCTTTAGTTTCGTTGTCTGTTATATGTATGTATGTATGTATGTGTTGGAGGTGTCAGTTGCACTGCGACCAAGGTTGATCTATTGCACCCCTCCTTCTGCTGCTAAGTTCGGGTTTCCTGCTTAAAGCAGCCCCTCTAGTCCTAGGTCCTTTAGGAATTTTAGGATGTCTAGCGGTTCCAGGGCTGGAATGTCTTCCAGCTGTATAAGGGGACTTCCCAAGTTCTTCATTCTTGAGCGGCTTACGGCATCGCAGTTCAGTGTAGAAGATGGTGAGGTGTTTCTTCACCGTCTTCACAGAATCTGCAAGTGTTACCTTCTTCCAACCCCAGAGATTATGCAGGTGCTTATTCAGTCTGCAATGTCCCGAGAGAAACCCGGTTAGAGTTTTGAGAATTTTCTTGCTAAGGTTGGCCAGCAGTACCGATCTTTTTTGGTTGTAGCTACCCAATAGATCTTTGGCCTGTCGTAGTCCTGGTTGGTCTAGCCATTGTTTGTTACTTAGCCGGTTCTCTTCCTTTTTGAGGATTTCTTGGAGGTGCGCATTTCCGACGCCGCAGAATGGTTCTGGCCCAGTGAAGGGAGTGACCGCTCCCGTTTTTGCAAGTTCGTCTGCGCAACATAGTAGGGTTACTTTGTTTTCCTTCCCCAGCTCATTGAGTTTCTGTAGACATTCCCATACTATCTTAGAATTGATTACCGGCGAGCTCAATGCTTTGATAGCTGCTCGGCTGTCAGACATTATTACAATTTCTCGTTTTCGGTACCTTCTGTTCAGGTTGAACTGCACGCATTTTCCGATCGCATGAGGTTCGGCTTGGAATATGCTTGGTGATTTGCCCATAGGCCCCGAGTATCTGGTTCGTGGCCCGAATACTCCGGCTCCTGTCCCCTCAGCAGTTTTGGAGCCGTCTGTGAACCATTTGATGGTGTTTGCTTTAAGGGACTGGATACATTCTATGTTCCATCTGTTCTTTGTACTTAGTTCGATGGAAATTTTTTTCTCGAAACTGAATTTATCAACAATCGCGTCTTTTGGTAAGTCCATGAGGTGCATGTGCACAGTTTGGGAGAGGGAAATCTCTGCCAAAGTGCGTTTTCCCTTGTAGACTTATCTTCGCCAGTCTAAGATATGATTCACTCGCAACCTGCTTCACTATTGTGTGAAGTGGTGTTAGGTCTAGGATGACTTCCATTACCGCGGTTGGGCATGTTCTCATTGCTCCTGTTATGCATAGACATGCGAGTCTTTGTACCTTTCCTAGGGATTTCCTAGCCGTTACTAGCTGGGTTCGGCTGTAGCCAGACTTCTAAATGATACACGTTTAATAACTGGAGAACGTTAATTCTATTGAAAAGACACCAAATTATGGAGAACATGAAACTAACGTTTTTACTCCACTAATGACTTGACACAACTGTCCTATTGACATTAGGGGAGTACATTAATAAACTAAATTAATATAAAACCAAAGTTCAAACACTACATTTTCCCCTCCTACTTTAAGATTCATTATAAATCCAATTCAAGTGGTTTTTTAATTGTTCTGCCAGATCCAGTAGTATCATTAGGATAATTATGACTTGGAGGATCTATTGTTTTGCTTGAAACAGACACATTACTTGGTTTAGCATATTTTTGAGATTGGTCACATTTGGGTGATGATACATAAGACTTAGGGCTTAAAATGTCACTAACTAAGTCCTTATCCTCAGTTGGAGTAACACTTGCACTCGTTGAGGGACAATCATTGAGAATGTCATTTTTTGGTAATGAAATATCACTATCTATAACCTCGTGTCTCTCAACAAATTGACTCATACGCATATTATTCGCGTGCACAAATTTAATATTATTATCTATCTGTACAAGATAAGTACAATGGCTTAACACTTTGACAATCTTACCTTTTTTCCACAATTGTGTTTGTTTATTCTTTACATAAATATCATCATTTAAGGAATACAATTTCAATTTGGTGATGTCAGATTTGAGCTTTGAGTTTTTATTGAAGGAGGGTTTTAAGAGATCAAATCTAGTCCTTGGACGCCTTTTAAAAAGACATTCAGCTAGCGAAACTCCAGTAGATGTAGAAGGAGTATTTCGATAAGTAAATAAGAAATTCTCTAAACGATTCAGAATTTTATGTTTGCTAATTTCCTTCCCCTTCTCAAGAAAAAGAGCTTTTTTCAAGCCCCTTTTAACAGTCTAGACAGCCCTTTCTGCAATGCCATTACTTTGAGGATGGTACGGCGGTGTTATGACTCGTCTTACTCCATTAGCCTGACAAAATAAACTAAATTCTGTTGAATTGAATGGTGGACCATTATCTGATATTATTTCTGCTGGCAGCCCAAAAATTGAAAATATTTGTTTTAATTTTATGATTAATTCTTTCACATTTGTTCCCTGATCCATCAATTTCACATCAATCCATTTCGATTTATTGTCAACCACAACCAGAAAAGTATAATTACATTTATGGAAGAAATCCACATTAACTCTAAAAAAATTATCTGGAGCATTAGGCCAAGGGAGTAAAATACTGCTATTTGAAAAATTCTAGGTCTCTTGACAAATTGTGCATGACCCAATAAACCTATCAATGGACTCATCAATCAATTAATTCCTGGCCACCAACAGTATGACCTCATAAGCATCTGTGTTCTCACTACCCCTAGATGTTGCTCATGAAATAAATTTAAAATTTCATTTTGGAGTAACTTAGGAATGACTATCTTACTTCCAACTAGTAAGCAATGATCTTCTACAGAGAGTTCTAATCTTTTTTTAAAATAAGGTTTTAAAGCTTCATCATCAATTGCACTAGGCCAACCCATCAATGTCAAATCTATAACTTTAGATAATACCACATCTTTCTGACTAGCAAAAGCTATATCAGTCGAATATATAGGGACATCGTAACACATATTAAAAGAGAATAGAGAGTCAGCAAATATTCCGGTATCACCATTGACTGGCAAACGGGACAAGCCATCAGCGTTTGAAATCTGACTTCCTTTCTTATATTGAATATCATAGTCATATGCAGACAAATTGATAGACCAACGCGTGATACGCGCAGCTGCAGTAACTGGAACGTTTTTGTTTCTTCTGAATATGAACTGTAAAGGCTGATGATCTGTCACGAGCGTAAATTTACGACCAAAAATGTACTTATGAAACTTTTTCAATGCAAAAATTATAGCTAAGCTTTCTCTCTCTAAATTAGAATATTTTTGTTCCGCTTTTGATAATGTGCTCGACGCAAACAAGACTGGTTTACCATCACTATTGATTTGATGGCTCAATACTGCACCTACGCCATACCCGCTTGAATCACATGTCACAAAAATGGGTTTTGTAGGATCAAAGTGTGTCAGAACATCTTCACAAGTAAGCAGATCTTTACTTAGCTGAAAAGCTTTTTCACACTCTTGACTCCATACAAAATCACAATCACCCTTACATAAATCATAAAGAGGCTTTAGTCTTGCTGAAAGCATATGTATAAACTTACCATAATAATTTAATCGTCCCAAATATGATTTTGATTGTGTGACATTATGCGGATAAGGAGCTTTCTTTATACATCCAATTTTGTCATCTGTAGGATGAATTCCTAGTGAATCGACCCTATGTCCTAAAAATACTACTGATTTTTCGAAAAATTTACAATTGTTTTCATTGACTTTAACATTGAACTCTTTTAATCTTTTTAGGACATTAATCAGATTATCGTGGCATTTTTGAAGAGAAGAACCGTATACTAGAATATCATCCAAGTAACATTTGGTCCCTGGTAAGCCTGATAAAATGGCATCCATAAAACACTGAAAAATGCCTGGAGCCGAGCTCACTCCATAAGTCATTCGATTAAATCTCAATAATCCAATATGTGTATTTATGGTGAAAAGTTCTTTAGATGCCTCACTGATTTGTAATTGTTGATAAGCACCTTAAAAGTCCAAAACAAGTGAAACAGCTACTACCGTTGAGACTCGCAAATATATCATTGGGTAATGGCAATACACAATGATCAGTGTCAATAACCTTATTTAAGGTTTTCTTAAAATCAACACAAATTCTTATTTCGTTGCAATTTTTCTTTGGAACCACTACTATAGGACTTGCCCAGTTGCTATGACTGACTTTAAATAAAATACCAGATTTGACCATCTTAAAAAGTTCCTCTTCCACTTTTGGTTTTAGTGAATATGGCATTTCATAAGACCTGTGAAAAATAGGAGTTACACCATCCTTCAATTTAAACTCGGCTTTGAATTCTTTGATAAATGAATTTGGCCCATCAATAAACAATTTCGAAAACCTATTTTTAATTTGACTGACCAAATTAACTTTGAATTTATCTGATTCTGACTCTTGACTTACACAATTTGACTTACTTTGACTAGCATTATCACACTTCTCAAAAATTGAAATTTGTTTAATTACAATACTACTATCTAACAAATTTTCTTTCCAATTTTGGTTTAAAATACTCAACCAATTACGACCCAACAATGGTATAAACTTTGAAACAGATCTAAGAACTACTAATGGTAAAATATTTATCTGTTTGATATACTTAACATGCACATCAATTTGACCCAAAATAAAGACTTTCTGCCCGGTTAACACTCTTAATTTGAAATCTACAGGTTTCAATAGTATATTCGGAAACAATTCCCTGTAATCATTTTCCTGAATTATAGAGCGGACTGCTCCAGAATCTACTTCCATATCTACAGCCTGAAAAAAAAACTTGACTTTTAAAGAATTTAGAACACACTCACTAGCATCTTCATCTAACAATCCCAATTCAAAGGATTCATCTGATTCCGGTTATTGATCTTCTTCCAAATCGTGTACTCT